CGAAATGCGACCATTTGAGTGAGACAGTGTTTCCTAATGATTTGACAAGTTTATTAATTGAGTAGATGAGCTGTGCAGACTGGAAATGCTGGAGTTCAATCTCCAATTTGTTCTGAGTTAGTTGATATGAGCCAGAATGGCAGGGAGGTATAACACTTAGCTTGAGCACCATGAGCTAGCATGTGAAAATTGTGCAGCTCTCCTGTGGCTGATCACTATCCAGCAATCCTGTACCACAGTAAAACGGGTTCCCATCAATGATAGATTAGATTTTATGATTTAGCCATTATTGAAGAAGAAAGAAAGAGAATCTCTCAACCTGAGTTTTACAATGCCCCAAAAATAAGTTTCAATCATAATCAGACCTAGTGCTTTCTGTTCTGACCAGGTAAACTTCATTGTGTCACTATTAATTTTTAATCTTTTGTGAGATGTGAATGTCACTGGCAAGGTCAGCATTTGTTGCCCATCCCTAGTTGTCCTTGTGAAGGTAGTGATGAGTTGGCTTGTTGAACCAGTGTTGTACTGTAGAGGAGCTCCAGAAACAGTAAAGCAATGGTGACTGTAGTTCAAAGCCCGAATGGTGTGTGGTTTAGATCTCATTATGTTGTTGGGATTTGTGTTTGGTTACAAATATACTTCTCAACGTCGTTCAGCACAACTCACTAGTAAACTCTTTTCCACATGAAAGATAATCAAATTAGATAGTTCCAAGCTCTCGTCCTGAATAAATATGCATTGACTCTGACTTATAAAAAGACTTTCATTTATATAGCAGCTTTCATAACTACCAGACATCTCAAAGCACTACATAGCAAATGAAACACTTTCTGAAGATTTCTGGACTAGAAATGTTAACTCTGTTTTTCTCTCTCCACAGATGCTGTCAGACCTGCTGAGTTTCTCCAGCACTTTGTGTTTGTTTCAGATTTCCAGCATTCACAATGCTTTGCTTCTATTACAGCAAATAAAATAGTTTCTGAAAAGAAGCCTCTTTTTAATGTAGAACATGCAGCAACCAATTAGAAATAGAGTGAGCAATCTTTGTTTTGTGTGAACAAAAACAGAAATTGCTGGAAAAGTTCAGCAGGTCTGGCAGCATCGTGAAGAAAGATCGGAGTTAACGTTTCGTGTCCAGTGACCCTTCCCCATAACTGACGGTAGCTAGGAAAATGTTCATTTATATGCAGAAGAGAGGGAGGGGAAGGGGGTAAGGAATAAGCGATAGGTGGGGATAGAGCCAAAGAGAGAGAAGAACAGTTGGATAGACAAAGGAGTTGATAACAGTCTGGCTAGGAGGGTGAATAGTTGTTAACGGGTGTGGGGTAGGGGGCTAGGACATGGGAGAGTTTGGGCCCTAAAATTATTGAACTCGATATTGAGTCCGGAGGGCTGCAGGGTCCCCAAGCGGAAAATGAGGTGTTGTTCTTCTAGCTCGTGCTGACCTTCGCTGGAACACTGCAGCAAGCCAGAGACAGAGATGCTGGCCAGGGAACAGGGTGGTGTGTTAAAGTGGAAGGCAACTGTAAGCTCAGGGTCTTTTTTGCGAGCAGGACGTAGATGTTCTGCGAAGTGGTCACCCAGTCTACGTTTCATTTCCCCAATGTAGGGGAGACCACGTTGTGAGCAGCGAATGCAGTAGATTAAATTCTGGGAAGTGCAGGTAAAGTGTTGCTTCACCTGGAAGGTATGTTTGGACCATTGGATATTGGGGAGGGAGGAGGGAGGTAAATGGGCAGGTGTTACACCTTTGGCGATTACAGGGGAAGGTACTGTGGGGTGCGGGGGGGGAGGTTTGTTGCGAGTGAAGGAAGAGTGGACCAGGGTGTCCTGGAGGGAACGGTCCCTGCGGAAGGCAAACAAGGGAGGGCAGGGGAATGTGTGTCTGGTTGTGGCATCTCGCTGGAGGTGGTGGAAATGGCGTCTGATGATCTTCTGGATGTGGATGCTGGTGGGATGGTAGGCCTCCCTTGTTTGCCTTCCGCAGGGACCATTCCCTCCAGGACACGCTGGTCCACACTTCCTTCACTCCCAAATGCCCTCCCCCGACTCCCACATCCCCATCCTCTGTCTCTGGCTTGCTGCAGTGTTCCAGCGAAGCTCAGCACAAGCTGGAAGAACAACACCTCATTTTCCACTTGGGGACCCTGCAGCCCTCCGGACTCAATATCAAGTCCAATAATTTTAGGGCCCAAACTCTCCCATGTTCTAGCCCCGTACCCCCACACCAGGCCTTGTTATCACATAAAAACCAAAAGAACTATGGATGCTGTAAATCAGGAACAAAAACAGAAGTTGTTGGTAAAGCTCAGCAGGTCTGGCAGCATCTGGCAGTTCCGAGGAAGGGTCAACGGACCCGAAACGTTAACTCTAATTTTTTCTTGACAGATGCTGCCAGACCTGCTGAGCTTTTCCAGCAACTTTTGATTTTGTTCCTTGTTATCACAGAGTCTGCCTTTACACACTACCTATTGCTAGTCACACACAGACCCCATTAACAGTTATTCACCCTCATAGCCAGTTCGTTATCAACTCCTTTGTCTATCCAACTGTTCTTCTCTCTCTTTGGGCTCTATCCCCATCGATCGCTTATTCCTTACTTGCTCCCCCTCTCTATCATCTGCATATAAACTGACATTTTCCTAGCTACCATCAGTTCTGAGGAAGGGTCACCAGAACTGAAATGTTAACTCTGATTTTTTCTTCAGAGATGCAGCCAGACCTGCTGAGCTTTTCCAGCAACTTCTGTTTCTATTCCTGATTTACAGCATCTGCAGTTATTTTGGTTTTTATTCTGTTTTGCGTGATATTGATTAAGGGATAAATTTTCGCCAGAACATTGGAGATATCTGACTGCTCTTTTTTCAATTAGTATCATGGGGTCTTTTACATTCACCAGAACTGTTGAACGCAGCAGTGAGAATTCTGTCAACTGAGGCAGGGTTATCACTTATGAGATCAGAAGATTTGCAGTTGTAAGAAAAGGATATTTTTATGATTTAGATTGACAGTTTCTATACTTTCCAAAATGTGGTCAGAACTTTATCATTCCCATGATCAAAAGAGATCACAGGCTGACTTGAGAGAGGGATTTAAAATTATGACGTGATGGGACAGAGTAGATTGTTTTCCAATGGTTGAGAGGTTTAGGATGAGGAGATATAGGTATAAAATTAAATGTAAAAGATTGAAGACAGAGAACAGGAGCATTTTATGTAACAAGTTGGACAGTTGTAGAATGTAGTACCTGAGGACAGTGTCAACCAGGATCTTGGGTTCATGTCACACTTCAGGTGACCCCACCACACGCACTCTCTCTCTCCCTCACACATACACATACACTCTCTCCCCCCCGCCATACACACACTTTCTCTCATCCACCCCACACACACTCTCTCCCCCCTCTCTCTCACACACAGACACACACACTCTCCCCCATACACACAAAAACACACTCTCTCTGTCACCCCCACACACACATATACACACTCTCTCTCTCTCTCCCCTCCCCTCACAGACACACACACACACACACACACGAATCTATGGCGTGAATTTGTATTTGCAGATATATTCTATTTTGCTCAAAAAGCACACAGTGTATAGATAGTCAGTCAATGTGGCGTTTTATAAATTCCTACTTTAGAAATAAAACCAGTCTGACTCCAAACCAAAACCCAAACAGATTCTAAACAAGGCCTCACACCTAAAATGCATTGTCTGACCTACAATGTCACAATTTCTTTACACTGATAAAACCTTTAATTCTCTCAGGACAGTGACTTGTAAGGAATTCAGGGATTTACATATATATTTTAATCAATTAAAACCTTCTAACTGATTAAAGATTTAACAGCATCTCAGGTTTGTTTAATACAGCTTGATCAGTTAGTTATATGACCCTTTAATCTTTTACTTTTAAATTCTGTATCTGATACTACCTCTCTCACTAACACCTGAAGATGGAGCAAGACTCCAAAAGCTCATGTATTTAAATAAACTTGTTGGACTATAACCTGGTGTTGTGCGATTTCTGACATAGTGCCAGAGTTAGTGATTGAAGCAGAAACCATATAAACATTTAAGAACATGTTAAATTGGTTGGTGATAGAAATTGGGATAATGGGATATGATAATAGGATGAGCACATGTGATTCTTTACAGGATGAACACCAACATCAATTTAGTAGAACCAGAAAGCCTGGATTCAAGCCTCACCTGCTCCAGAGGTGTGTCATAACTCGCAGGTTAGGTGAGTTAGCCATGGGAAAATGTGGGGTTACAGGACTAGGGGAGTGGTTCTGGGTGAGATGTTCTTGGTAGGGTCGGTGTGGACTCGATGGGCCGAATAGCCTGCTTCCATATTGGAGGGATTCTATAATATGCCTGAACAGATTGATTAAAATATCTAGATTTAGTTGAACCGAATAGCGGTTTAATACGTTGAAACAAAGTGTATGTAAGAAAATATCCGAGGATCACGCTCAAGATTTATCAAACACAGAAATAGCTGGGAAAACTCTGCAGATCTGGCAGCATCTGTGGAGAGAGAAGCGGAGTTAACGTTTCAAGTCCAGTGACCCTTCCTCACAGATAACAAGGTGCAGGGCTGGATGAACACAGCAGGCCAAGCAGCATCATAGGAGCATTCTTTGTTTCATTAAAGGCTTTTTCAAACCTGGTTTGAAAATACATTAAGTTGTACTCCTCCTCTTGAGCAGATTTTACACTGATAAACCTGCGTCCTCCGCCAAAAATAAGCCTATCACCTAATATTTACATTGTCTGCATATCACCAGCAATTGGACTTTAATAAAACACTTTTGAAATGAGGTAAGGCGATTTTAAATAAAGATTGAGGCATTCGAAGTAAACGCTTGCTCTCACAGATCTTGCCAGGAGGTGGCGCAGAGGACAGGTACTTTACAACGTTGTCGTAAAGTGTGAAGGAGATTTGTTGTGAGGAGATTATTATTGTATATTTAAAAAAAGCAACATGAGGTCGCTGTGAATGAAAAAGGGGGGCGGGGGAAAAGAGGAAACCCGATAAAAATCACCTCAAAAGTTCCAGCGCTCTCTCGCACGCTCACCCGAGGGGTGGGGAAAGCGGTCCGGTCACGTGACTGAGGCAAGCCCGGGTAATTCAAAAAAAATTAAAAATATATAAATCTAACTAATTGTAAACAAATGGCCCCTTTAAAGTTTCGGAAGATTGCAGTATTGGGGTATAGATCAGTCGGTGAGTTTTGTTTTATTTCTGTGTTTTGAGGGGGAGGAATCACGAGTGAACTCCGTTTTCTCCATAGAAGCGGCGCGTGGTTGTAAAATTCCTGTATTAGTTCATTCCGAAGATTATGGTTTTATTCTAAATGCTGTCAACCAGAAACAAAGGTTTCTGTTAGTCTACTTCGTACATCAGTTTCCATCACTACTTTCCAATGTAATTGAATCCACTGGCTGCTGTGAATGTTTTGTAAATTTTTATTTTTCTGGAGTTAGAACATTTGTTTTTAGACCAGCTTTCACCATTGATTTGTTTGCTCTGTCTACATCTTTCTCTTTCCTCCTGCCCCTCCCCGTTCTTGGGCATAGTCCTACTTCTGTTCTCCCATCCACACCCCCCCGGCTATGCTTTCTTTATTACCAGAAATACAAAGCTAAATAGTAGCTTTTTTTGCGGGGGGGAGGGGTGGTTATTTCCAGTCCCGCTACATTTTTAACATGGTTCGGCGCAGTCTGAGAGCGTGTCCTTTCTTGTCTTTGTTGCCCAGTTACAGGTGTGGGTGAAGTAACTCGAATCATGTTTCTTGGGGTTAGTAGGAACTGCAGATGCTGGAGTTCATCCAGCCCTACACCTTGTCATCTCATGTTTCTTGGGCTACTGTTATCTCCCACTAGCATATCTCTAAGTTGCAGTTATTTTCAACACACGAACAACTGGATGCTGGGAATCTGAAACAAACACAAAGTGCTGGAGAAACTCGGCACTTTTGGCAGCATCTGTGGAGAAAGAAACGGAGTTAACGTTTCGAATAGCCTGATGAAGGTTCACTGGACTTGAAATGTTAACTGTGTTTCTATCTCCGTAAATGCTGTCAGACCTGCGGAGTTTCTCCGGCACTCTTTCCTTCCCCCCCCCCCCAGAGAAAATGTGTTTTAAACCGGTTTTGGGTTGCTGGCTATTGTCGAACTGATTCTCCTGTAGCTATTGAAGAAGTGGGAAAGCGCCGAGATACCAGCACACACTGTTATTTAGGAAAGTCTTTTTTTAAAAGTAAAAACCTTCTGTTTGTTCATGACCTTTTGTCAAACATGACTCAAAGTGAATCACTTTGAATGAAGAAAAATCGAAAGATGCTCCACATCTGAAAAAGAGTGCTGGAGAAACTCAGCAGGTCTGGCAACATCTGTGGAGAGAGAAACAGTTCTTGTTTAGAGTCTGATAATGACTTCAGAACTGAAGGGGGTGAAAAATGATGGATTTTATGCTATAGAGAGAAGGGGAGGTGTGTATGGAATAGATTGTGAGGGAGCCCAGAGCCAAAGACAAAGACAGTGCTAAGGGTGGTAAAAGAGATACACAGATGTAAAACGAGTGTGAGTAGAAGTATGAAAATCCGTTTGGCTTTTCTGTCAGCAGAGCATCAAGGCATGATGCAGGGTGGGTGAGGGGTTACTAAAAAAAAATGGAGGACAGAGGTGATGCTTTGAAATTTTGGAAGACCATTTTGAGTCTGTAGAAGCTGGAGTGCTATGGAGGGAAGCACTGCAGCCAATTTGCATGCCAAGATCTCAGAGGCAACAATTTAATGAATTCCCAATGTTAATCAGAATACATGGCAAGTTCTCTGTTTTACCTTCCAATAATATGTGTAACACCCATTTAAAGCAGTGTTGAAGTGCTTATGCAGTATTGCACAGGAGCATCAGTTCAGATCACTTGCCTAAATTTGGGGGGAAAAAAGCATGAAACTACAAGCTTCGAACCCAGAGTCGAGAGTGCAAACTTAGTCAAACTGGTGCTCACTTTTTACCACAAATTAGCCATTAACATTCTGACTTGATCAGCAAGGGAACTTCAACTGTAAATAATTGTGTTAAACCAGTAAGGGAGTTGAAACGTGGCCTTTCTTTTAGTTCTGTTTAGTTGATTGTTTTTAACCTTTTCTGTTTGGGGAGTCTCTGCAAATATTGTTATTTGATGATCTCCTGTTTAAGTATGTTTACAAAATAAAGAATTTTGATGATCCTCCAGGATTTTAAGTTCTGTGTATTCCAGTTTTGAAAATCTGTGGTATAACTTAGCTACTTTTATTAAACAATGAATTCCTGTGATCCATTAAATTCAGAATTTATGAAAGTAATCCTCCTGTAGTTTCTCAAACTTAAATCTTAGGGATTCAACATTTTGTGCCATTAAATGTGATGTAACAAGAAACGTTAAACACCATACCCTTGTATAGTAATGGTTCTGGAATGGCAGTTTTACCTGAAACTAAAGTCTTTGTGTTTTTCTGACTTCCATATTCTAGCAGGAAAGAAACGTTTTAAAATAATAACAATGCAAGTACAGTTGATTGTGATTTAATGCTACCTTTTCAGTATATGCTAAAATACTTGTCTCATTCTAAAATAAATTACTTTGTAAACTCCTTGTAGGAAAGTCATCGCTAACGATCCAATTTGTAGAAGGACAATTCATCGAATGCTATGACCCTACAATTGAGAACAGTAAGTATGGTCTTTGTTGGGTGGTACAAAGATCTCTGAACATTGAGGGCATCATGAGGTGACTGAACAAGTTTGGAATTAACGCTGTAATTAGCAGTCTCCTCCCGTGAAGATGTTGACCTGTGCTGGATGCAGCATGGCCTCTGGTCTCTGTCTGGTATATTGTAATTGTGATCCTTATTTAATGTGTAGGCTGAGAGATTGAATATTGGCAGGCTGAAATAAAAATGGAATGTGCTGGAGAATCTGAGCAGGTCTGACAGTATGTGAAGAGAGAAAAGGAGTTAACATTTTGAATTAATTTTTTTTTTGGAACTCCGTATTGGCAAGCTACTTGACTTTGGAGACATCAACACCAAACTAGATCCTATCCTTGACCAGTGTTCACAGAGCGTATGTCTGAGTTATGTTCAGGAATTTACCCCAACTCCTCTATGGGAACAGATTGTCATGGACTTGTCTCAATAGCAACTCTGCAACCTTTGACCTGTAAGATGTTTGTGGGATTGAAGTAGTGTACTTTAAGAAATAGGTGCACTTTAGGCAAGAGGATACAGAAGTAATCAAAAATTAATGAGTTGACTCATCCAGCATCACCACCTATGTCACTCAAAGTAAGAATTTACAATTATTTAACACCTTTCACAATTGCGCAACAACCAAGTGCTTAAAACCAATGAAGATCTCTCAAAATGTAGTCATCACTATAGGAATAGTGGCAGCCATTTTCCAGACAGTTCTGTGATGACCAAATAATTTGTTCTCCTGAGGGATGAATATTGGCTAGGATATTGGAGGTTCCTACCCCTGTGCTATTGGATCTTTTCCATTTCCCTAAAAAAGAAACACATGGTTGACATCTAGTTTGAGAGACTTCCTCTTCGACAGTGCAGCACTCCCTCAGTGTTGCACTGGAGTGTAAGCCTGGATTATGCACTCGGGGGTTTTTGGAATGAGTCTTGAATTTGCAACTGCTTGATTCAGGCAAGAGTGCTACCCACTGAAATGTGGCTGTTACCTTGTAGGTGCTGCTTGCAAATGATGCTTTTGTAATTCACTTTGTAACATCAATATACCTTTCTCAAAGTGTCTCAATGTCCCAATCTAATTATGGACTGAGCTCTGCAATTTTAAAACTGACCAGCTCCATTTGCTCCTCAGTACAGTTCCAGGCCCCTTTTCTGTGTCCGTTTGATACTTGCTTGTGTTACTCCAGAGACTAAAGTACTGCTGTGTTTTTACTGTTGTCTGTATGACTAATGTTTGACTCAATAGTGCTGAAAGACTATAATCTTGCGTGCGGGTTTATTGGCAGGACAAAGTGCAGCTATTAACCATAGGATGTGACCAATCTTATTTTTAAAAAAAAAAAAATGCATGTTTTCACCAATTCATATGATTTTAAAAACTGTTTTGCAGCTTTTAATAAAACCATAAATTTTGATGGACAAGACTTCTATCTGCAACTGGTGGATACTGCTGGGCAGGTGAGAGCTGCATGCATATGATCTTGAAGAGGGATGGTTTTCAGTCTTAGAATTTTACAGCATGGAAGGAGCCCATCATGTCTACACCAGCTGACAAGTATTATTCCAGCACTTGGTCTATAATCTTAGAGGTTATGGCACCTCAAGTGTATATCCAAGCTCACTTTAAAAATGTGATGAGGGTTTCTGACTCTACCACCCTTTTCGAGGCAGAGAATTCCGAATTCGCAGCACCCTCTGGGTGAGAACAGCTCCCCTCAAACCCCTTTAAACCTCTGACTCTGTAGAGTCATAGAGATATACAGCACGGAAGTAGACCCTTCAGTCCAACTCATCCATGCTGACCAGATATCCTAAATTAATCTAGTCTGATTTGCCAGCATTTGGCCCATATTCCTCTAAGCCCTTCCTATTCATATACCCATCCAGATGCCTTTTAAATGCTATAATTGTACCAACCTCCACCACTTCCTCTGGCAGGTCATTGCGTACACGCACCACCCTCTGTGTGAAAAAGTTGCCCTTGGGTCCCTTTTATATCTTTCCCCTCTCACCTTAAACCTATGTCCTCTAGTTTTGGACTCGCTCACCCCAGGGAAAAGACCTTGCCTATTTACCCTATCTATGCTCCTCATGATTTTATAAAGTCACCCCTCAGCCTCTGACACTCCAGGGAAAATAGTCCCAGCCTATTCAGCCTCTCCTGTAGCTCAAACCCTCCAACCCTGGCAACATCCTCGTAAATCTTCTCAAACCCTTTCTCGTTTCACAACATCCTTCCTACAGCAGGGAGGCCAGAATCGCACACAAGACTCCAAAATTGGCTGAACCAATGTCCTGTACAGCCGCAGCATGACCTCCCAGCTCCTATACTCGATGCACTAACCAATAAAGGCACGCATACCAAACATGCATTTGAGTCCCTCACTTTCTCTCCAACTCTTAATGTGTTTCCTTTTACCAAATGATGACCCCTCCCTTCTCTCAATTCGACTGTAATTGCCACTGTTCTGTCCACCTAATAAATGCTTAATATCTTACTGCAGTCCACAGCTTTCTTTTTTGTTATCAACCATAAGATGTAGACCATTCAGCCCATCAAGTCTACTTCTCCATTCAATGAGACCATGGCTAATCTGATAATCATCAATTCCACTTGCTATCTTTTCCCCAAACTGCGTGATTAAAAATCTGTCTTTTTCCACCTTGAATGTTCTTAACTATCCAACCTCGACAAGCCTCTGCAGTAAAGAATTCCACCGATTCTCTCTGAGGGTAGGAAGAAATTCCTCCTCGCTTCTATCTTAAATGGCGAATGCTCACTATGAGATGATGCCCTCTGGTCCTGGGCTCTTCCACAAGGGGGAACAACCTTTGTGCATCTACACTGGCAAGCCTCTAAGATCTTGTATGTTTCAATAAAGTTGTTTCTCCTTTTTCTAAACTCCAGTGAGTACAAGCCCAGCCTATTCAACCTGTCCTCATAAGAAAATGTCTCCACACCTGGGGTCAACCTAGTGAACCTTCTCTGGACAGTCTCCAACATCAGTGTATCTATCTTTAGATAATGGGAATAAAACTGTTCACACTATTCCAGCTGCAGTCTGTCTAGTGCCTTGTGTAGTTTTAGCAGTGCCTCTCTACTTTTATACTCCATTCCCTTTCCATTCTCCATTACCTGCTGAACTTGGAATACTAGCTTTTTGTGATTAATGCATGAGGACTACCAAATCCCTCTGTACTACAGCTTCCTGCAGTTTTTCTCTATTTAAATAATATTCAGCTCCTCTATTCTTCCTGGCAAAATGTGCAGCCTTGTGTTTTTTTCCTTTTGATATTCCGTCTGCCAAGTTTTTGGTGACTCACTTAACCTGTCTATGTCCCTCTGCAGCTCTTTGTATCATCCTCACCACTTGCTGTCTTACCTATTTTTGTGTCATCTCCAAACTTGGCAATAGTAATTTCCCTCATCCAAATCATTAATATATGTTGTGTTTACTTGTGGCTCCAGCACTGATCCCTGTGGTATTCTACTAGTTACCGTTTGCTATCCTGAAAATGCCCCCTTTATCCCAACTGTGTCTTCTTTCTGTTAGCTAATCCTCAATCAATGCTAACATACTACCCCTATAAGTAGCCTCATTTGCAGTACCTTACTGAGTATCTTTTGGAAATCCAAATATATTACATCTAGTGCTTCCCTGTGCTTGTTACCTCCTCAAAAATTCTAATAAATTTGACAGACATAATTTCCTCCTCATGATGCCATGGTAACTCTGATCATATTATGCACTTTGTAATGGCAGAGCATTTTTGTAATGAACTGTAACATTTTCCGATGTCAGATATTAAGCTAACTGGTCTATGGTTGCCTGTTTCTTTTGTCTTTAAAGATTCTTGGAGATTACTTCCAATATATCCACTATCTCTATGGCTATTTCCTTTAGTAACCTAGGATGTACCCCATAAGGTCCAGTGGACCTAATCCCATGGCCATTAGTTTCCCTAGTAATTTTTCTCTAGTGATAGCTGTTGTGTTTATTTCCTCCACATCTTTTGCCGTTTGATTTAGTACTTTTCGAATGCTATTAGAGTCAGAGTTGTACAGCATATGGAAACAGACCCTTCAGTCCATGCCGACCAGATATCCTAAATTAATCTAGTCCCATTTGCCAGCATTTAGCCCCTAGCACTCTAAACCCTTCCTATTCACATACCCATCCAGATGCCTTTTAAATGTTGTAATTGTACCAGCCTCCATCACTTCCTCTGGCAGCTCATTCCATACATGCACCACCCTCTACGTGAAAAAGTTGCCCCTTGGATCCCTTTTAAATCTGTCCCCTCTTACCTTAAACCTATGCTGTCTAATTTTGGACTCCCCTACCCTGGGGAAAAGACTTTGACTATTCACCCTATCTATGCCTCTAATGATTTTATAAACCTCTATAAGGTCACCCCTCAGCCTCTGATGCTCGAGGGAAAATAGCCCCAGTCTATTCAGCCTCTCCCTAAAGCTCAAACCCTCCAACCCTGGCAACATCTTTGTAAATTTTTGCTGAACCCTTTCAAGTTTCACAAAATCCTTCCTAAAGCAGGGAGACCAGAATTGAATGCAGTATTCTAATATTGTCTAAGACTGGTACTTGCTATTTATTAAACTGCTCTTCCATTTTCTCATTCCCTATTAATAATTGCTCAGCCCCATTCTCTAATGGGCCTTTCTTCATTTTGGCTTCTTTCTTCATTTTTATATATTTAAGAAGCCTGTACTTTGTTTTTAAATTGCTTTTTAGTTTATGCTCTTAGTTTATTTTCTCCTTTGTTTTATTTTGGTCATCTTTTGGCTTTTAAAACTTTCCTGATCTTCTGTCTTGACACTAATCTCAACCATGTTGTTGTTGTTGTTTTTTTTATTCTTTCATTTTGATTCTGTTCTTGACCTCCTTGGTTAACCGTGGTCAGTTTATTCCCTTCCAAGAATCCTCCTTCCTCATTATTTTTGCTATGAGTCATGAACTGTTTTCCTAAATGTCTGCCATTGTTCATCAACAATTTTTTCTGCTAAACTCCTTCCCAGTCCATTCCAGCGAATTCTGCCTTCATTCCTTTGTAACTACCACTGTGTGTAGCAAAGTTGTTCCCAACCCAAGTTTCTTGCTCTCAAACTGAATGCTAAATCTACAATGTCATGGTCACTGTTTCTTAGAGGATCTTTTACTGTGACATCATTTGTTAAACCTGCTTCATTACACATTACCAGACCCCAAAATAGCCTGATCCCTCGTTGGATCCACAACATACTGTCCTAGGAAACTGTACCAAATATACTCTATGAATTCTTCCTCATGGCTATCTCTACCGATTTGATTTTCCCATACTACATGAAAATTAAATTAATCTGTGATTAATATACTGCTTTTTCTTTACATGCCCTCATTATCTCCTGATTTATTCTGTCTTGCAGTATAACTACTGTTTTGGGGATGGGCGGAGGGAGGGGGATGTAGATTACTCCCACCAGTGTTGTCTTCCTCTTTGTATTTCTTCCAATCTCCACCCCTATGGATTCTACATCTTCAGATACAAGGTCATTTTTTGCTATTGTACTTATTTCATCCTGTAATAATACATTGGATCCACTGGTTCTGCTTTATCTGTATTTGGATTTTCAGAAGGCATTTGATAAGGTGACACACATTATGTCACTTAATAGGATAAAAGCCCGTGGTATTGTAGGAAATACAAGTGTGGATAGAGAATTGCCTAGCTAATAGAAGACTAAGGGTTAGGATGGCAACATGTAACTAGTAGTGTGCCACAGGGATTGCTGCTGGAACCACAGTTACTTACAAGGTATATTAATGAGTTGGATGAGGAAAGTGGATGTATATAGCTAAGTTTGCAGATGACACAAAAATAGGTGGGAAGGCAAGAGGCGAAGATGAAACAGCGTGCAGAGGGATATAGACAGGTTAAGTGACAGGCAAAAACTTGGCAGATGGGATATACTGTGGGGAAAATGTGAAGTTATGGACTTTGGCAGGAAGGTTAGAGTGGCTGAATATTATTTAAATGGAGAAAGACTGCAGAAATCTACAGAATTCCGGAATTTGAGTCCTCATCTATGAATCACAAAAAGCTAGCATCCAATTTTGACAGGGAATAGGGAAGGCAAATGGAATAAAACAAAGAACTGCACATGCTGGAAATCTGAAACAAACAAAACCAGAAATTAGTTCTAGTTCTAGTTCTGAAGAAGGGTCACAGTTCTTGAAACATCAACTCTGTTTTCTTTCCACAGATGCTGCCAGATCTGCTGAGTTTCTCCAGCAATTTCTGTTTTTGTTTGTTTCAGATTATAGAATGTTAGCCTTTATTTCAAAGAGAATGAATTATAAAAGTAGGGAGATTTTGCTAAAATTATACAGACACTGATCAGGCCACAGCTGGAAAACTGTGAACAGCTTTGGGCCCCTTATCTAAAGAAAGATATACTGACATTGGAGGCAATCCAGAGAAAGTTCACTAGGCTGATACCAAGTATGGAGGCACTATCTTATGAGGAGATGTTGAATAGACTGGGCCTGTTCTTGTTGGAATATAGAAGAATGAGAGGTGACCTTATTGAAACATACACGATTTTTCGAGGATGTGACAGGGAAAGGTTGTTTCTCCTTGTTGGACAGTCTAGGATCAGAGGGCGTAATCTCCGAATGAAGTGTTGCATGTTTATGACCAAGATGAGGAGAATTTTCTTCTGAGGGTAGTGAATCTGGAAATTCTTTACTGCAGAGGGCTGTCAAGGCTGGGTCATTAAATATTTTCAAGGCAGAAGTAGACAGATTTTTAAAATCTGGAATGGAATCTGGGTTATGGAGAAAACGTAAGAAAGTAGAGTTGAGGATGATCAGATGAGTCACGATCTCATTGAATGGTGGAATAGACTCGAGGGGTTGAATGGCCTATGTCTTATAGTCTTTTAATTGTGGCCTTAATTCATTTATTTTGTTCTGAATATTATATGCATTTGAGCAGAGAAATTAACTTTTTTTTATCAT